TTTTTTTAAACTGTATTGTATTAATGTTGTAGCTAAGACTAGTAGATGTACAAAATACATTTATTTATGAAAGCCAGCTTACAGTATTCTAAAACTAGAACTAACCAGGTTAGTTTTATTTATTGAGAAACCACTGCATATATGAATGAAAGACATTAAAATCACGTTTGTTTAACAAACATAAATTATATAGCTTTAACATATAAAAATCATGTTGAGTAAATCTAACTTTAATATGTGCAACCGATGTACATATTTTTTTTATGTTAATCCAACAGGTTTTTTTTTTCAGTGTGGTTTTGTAATGATTTCTAACCTGATGAGCAACGGCAACACTTTTTCTAAGGTCATTAGAATAGCCCCCTAATAAATACATTTAGACCGCCTAACTTAGCGATTGCTATCAGGATGTAAAGAAACTTTCAACCAGCATAACAAAACATTTCTTTTTAAACAAACCTCCTACCCTGCCTTTAAAACAAGGGCTAGAGCAAGTACTTTATATTTTGTCTACATTTTTATATTCAGAAATAAACTATCTGCAAAATCAGATACTAGTAACACTTATGCGGATATTTCACATCATAGCAGCCAAAGCGTCTGAAAACAAAGTTCAAAAAGTAAAAAAAACACAGAAGCTCAAAGCTAGGCGCTTTAAGCAGAGTGCCTGCAGTTTTCAGCTGGCTAAAAGCTTTGGTGGACACATAGCCTTATCGTCGATTAATCCTTTTGCCATGCCAATAAAGTTATTTAAATCTTAATTTGTCAATGGCTGATCGATTTGCGATGCAGATTTGTTCAAACAGGAGAGAGGAGAGACCACAGACCAGATATCTGTTCATGGTATGTAAACCATTAATGATATATTTTGAAATATTGCCCCAGTCTACTGACACAACATTCTGATTACTTCATGTGACTGATCAAGCTATAATATGTAGCTAGTATGAGTATCAAAATGCTTTCTCTGTGCCCACATTTGACCATAATTATAATGCAAAAACTTGACACTTCGAATTAACAGAAAAAAAAGATCTCAACTTTGAAAATAAGCATATCCAAAACATATATCCAAATGCAAAGCCTAACACAAGTAAATTATTATGTCTGAAAACAAAGTGTAGGAACTAGGGAATACACTACCATGTTTATATATTTTTATATAGGAATATACAGCCATCTAGTGGTTACATCATGGTTTATAGATGATAAATAGTGCATAATTTCATAATTGGAAGAGATAAGTTTTCAGATGGAGTTTACAGTCTGGATAAGAAGTTGTGCAGCATGCTCCGTTAGGAAGGGCCTGATCTTTCTAATGTTGTGCAGTGCAAAAATACATGATCGAACACTCTTTGCAGTGTGGTCCTTGAATGTCAGCTGGTCATCAAAGATTACTCTAAGATTTCTGACTGAACTTGATGGGGTAATTGTTGATGAACCCAGCTGGATGGTGAAATTGTACTATAGAGTCGTGTCGAAGGGAAGACGAGACGTTCAGTCTTTGCAAGGTTGAACTGGTGATATTCTTTAATCCATGCTGAGATGTCCGCTAGGCAGCCTGAGATCCTTTGGATCATCTGGTTGAAAAGAAAAATAGAGCTGTGTGTCATCAGCATAGCAATGGTAGGAAAAACCATGTGCTTGTATGTTGGATCCCAGTGTTGTAGTGTATATGGAGAAGAGGAGGGCTCCAAGAACTGATCCCTGAGGAACCCCAGTGACCAGTTGATGTGTTTTGGATACCTCCCCTCCCCAAGCAACTGTGAAAGACCTTCCTGTGAGATAGGATTCCAACGAGTGAAATGAAGTTCCTGTGATGCCCAGTGATGAGAGGGTGGACAGAAGAATCTGATGATTCACAGTGTCAAAAGTGGCAGATAGGTCCAGCAGAATGACAACTGATGATTTGTAATCAGCTTATGCAATCTGCAGGGCTTCAGTGACCTAGCTTAACTACATTTTTCAGTAGCTTTACATTAGCAACGCTACTTTTAAAACAGTGTAGCTTTTCCTGTAGCTAACTACTTTTTCCAGCAAGCGGTGTAGCGCGACCAAACGCAACATTCCGTTTTGCGTTCTGACGAGTCACGAGCCTGTAATGCATTGAAGTAGCGCAGCGTCTTCTTCTGACTAGATCACAAACTAAATTTGTTAATTTAATAATTGTTATTGTGTGTATCGAATAGTTTACAAAATCAAATGATTGGGAAACTTTTTGTCATTGAAATGGCTTGGAAAAGTGTCCCAATCAACCTGAATTCACCCTACTCTTTGAAATCATGATTGCATTACAGTATGTTGTTTTAAACCCCAAATATTTTACTTGTAACTTCATTATATTTTACTTATAACTTCATTATAATTCTTCATTAATAATTATTTCGTTATTTGTAATGTTAGTTGTTAAAAAAAAAAGAATAATAATCAAATTGAAAGTAGTTTCAATGTAGCTAGCTACTTTTTGACAGTAACTTGTAGTGTAGCTAGCTACTTTTTCAGAAGGGTAGCTTGAATGTATAACTACTTTAATTTACGAGTAGCTTGTAGCTGGTCAAGCTACAGTTTCAGAGTAGCTTGCCCAACACTGCATATACTTAAGGTAAGGGTAAATGTTTGGTCAACTGAAATGGACAAAAATGGAACTTAAAGGAATAATTATTACAAATAATCAATAAAAAATACTAAATTATCTCATCTTCTTACCCTAATATGTGTTACATCCTGTATGAACACAACTCTCTCCATGTTACCTGCCTGTGTTTTGTTGGTGTGGATCAAATTAAAGGATGTCAAGTACAGACCTTTGCGTTTACATAAATCACAATGACTGTCTGTCAGTCAGAGAAGAAAATGGACCTGACATTTTGTGGTGGAGACTGTACCAGCTTTAGCAGGTGAGTACACACAGACCTACACAGGCCACATCCTAACTGAAACAGACCCTCATAAGTGACCGATTTGAAATGCTATACATGTGTTTTTCTCTCTTTCTCACATACGTAGGTACACTGAACCTGGATTGTCCTCTTGTAGCTGTTGGCAGGCCACTTGCTCAAGTAATCGCACAGTGAATCTTGGTTGCGTAAACGGAGACATAGTGACCTACACGTACATCCATGTTGAGGAGTGTGCCTGCAGCACAACTAACTGTCATTTTTGATTTATGGCTAATAATTGATTTAGGGTTAGACATGTGACAGTTTGTCCAATATTATAGTACGATAAGTACAAATCACAAATACTTTTTCATTACAGTAATAACACAGTTTTTGCTTTTTTAGTAAATCACATTAGTCTTTATTTACTGATATGGAATATTATTTGTTGGCATCTTGACTTTGTTTCCTATTATTAAAACTTTTGCTATGAATGTCAATCCCAGAATCCTTAGCAGTAGATTAAGTACCACCATATTTCAAATAGAAATTGATTAATCATGCAAAATGTTTTTATTTGTAATATACCAGGTCTGACAGGATGTTTAATTAATGCATCCTACAAGTCTGAAATTACAATCAAGTATCAAGATCTCCGACAAACATGAACAGCTTGTCTTTTGGGAGGTAGACCACTCTGCATATGTATGGTTTAATTCGATCTCTGTGTAAATACAATGTAATATTTGTAATGGCCATGTGATTTAGGTTTGTGGATGATACCTGGCAATTATGAAGTACTGTTTCTTTGCATGCAATCCAAAAGAAACAAGGAACATATTAGGCACGAAACAGGATATGGATTCTAATTACGATAAGATATTTAAACAGAAAAGCATTGCATAAATAAGCAACAGCAAACCAGCTGGTTGTTCCAGACATCTTACATTGTATTCAATCATACATTTTTGAATATTGACTTTTGGGGGAAGTCTATCAAGTGGTCTAACAACCATGGAGTGATGTTGTGGCATACAGTAGTTGGATAAATAAGGCCTGGAATCTCACTAATAAATCACATATATGATCAGGTTTAGTAAATGGATTTGATCGTGTGTTGTAAGTGACAGACCAACCAGGATATATAAATGCAGGAAATTATGAATTCTTATGTCTGAACCAACCAAACGTATGTGTACATTTAGTTTTTTATTTATTTATTTACATTTTTTTAAGTCATGCACTATTGTTGATGTACTGATTTATAGTATGTACACCATTGGCGTTCTGTCCATATAAGCTGCGAATGCTCCGCATACCCGGCCAGCATAGGCGTAGCTTGATGTTTGGGCCAAACCGAACCGGTGGATTTGGTCAGACGTACTTTTAAACACATTTTAGTTTTGCTATAGTAAATCTACATATTCACATAGAGCAGTGGCAAGTGCATGAGGTTGTCATGGTAACCACATACACTGCCCACGAATTACAGCTGCGCTTCTATTTTGCCACACTAAACTAGCAATAAACACGTTTAAAATGCACAATAAACATGTCTGTCAAAACGATCTCAAAGGAGGCTTTTATTAAGCCAATCAAGGAGTGAATTACTCATTTGTTGGGCTTGATTCAAGTTAAAGGGGTCATATGATGCAATTTCAAGTTTTCCTTTCTCTTTGGAGTGTTACAAGCTGATTGTGCATAGATAAGATCCCTGAAGTTGCAAAGACTAAAGTCTCAAAACCAAAGAGATATTTTCAGGAAATGCACAGCTTAGGTATTTCCAGACAGGTCTTGAGCATGTTATAGTTCCATATAAGCCCTAAAAAATACAGTCCCAATTCTACATTTAAAATGACTAATAACAAATGTTCATCTGTTGTATTTTTGTTTTTTCATGTTTTCAATTTATGAAGGTGCTATAGATTCTTTCCTGCTTTGATTTCCCTTTGGAACTATTTTCATTGAAAAACCGGCAAAATAACTGCCAGTGTTGTGTCATGTAAATGTAAATGCAAATAGACTTTTTGCTAACCCAGAACTAGCAACAGCTAGTAGATGGGTAGATATTGATAAGTTTCTCTAGGAAAGAACTGTGTGCCCACTGGATTCACACCCTTGTTTAGTTTGAGATGAAACGCAGATACACCCAGTTTTGTGAGTGGCAAAAATGTTTCTCACAACCAAGGTTTGCATAAATGTTTAATCTCAAACACAGCTATATAGGACAATAAACATTTGTCTGATTAAAAGATAGAAACCCATGGTAATGCATTAGATGGGTTCCACCTTCTGATCACAAATTACATTTTTCCAAAGATGAAAATTCACTATAAAAGAGCAAGTTTTGACAGACAGTTCACATTAGCTCTTGAGGATGGTTGTTGTCTGCATGGGGACTGTGAGGATGTCCCAGATGTGGATGCTGAGATGGGTCGTCTTACTGCTGGGGCTCCAGTTGACACAAGCAGGTTAGATGACTATAATCAGTTTTGTTTTTTCATTTTAAAATATTATTGCACAACATTACAAGTCCCTAACTTGTTTTTCTCTCTGACTACTCCATCTTCCGTCTCTGAGTTAATCTTGAAATCCAGCTCTTCATCCTGTCGACTTGACCCTGCTCCTACTTCTCTTCTGAAACTTTGCCATTCTTTTATTTCTGCACCTATCTCTCACTTCATTAATACATCACTTACCTCTGCTTCATTTCCTCTGCCACTCAAAACCGCTGCAGTCACCCCTGTTCTCAAGAAACCCAACCTTGATCCTTCAGTTCTATCTAAGTACACCCTCTATCTATGTACACCCTTCATTGCTAAATTACTGGAAAGTAATTTTTTACGGTACGGTTTTCGCACACTCCATAATACTGAAACTGCACTGGTAAAGGTAGTGAATGATCTACTACTTTCTGGCGACTCTGGTTCTTTGTCTATACTTCTGTTACTTGATCTCAGCTCTGCCTTTGACACAGTCTCCCATGAATTGCTTATTTCTCGTCTCTCAGATTTGGGTATTTCTGGTGATGCCCTTTCTTGGTTTCCTTCCTATCTCTCTGACAGACAATTTTACATATCAGTAAAGGATTTTCGATTACCTACTGTCCCCCTGAAGCAAGGTGTCCCCCAGGGATCCGTTCTCAGGCCATTATTATTCATAATTTACATAATGCCACTTGGTCAGATCTTACACCGTCATGGTCTAAATTATCACTTTTTCGCTGATCACATCCAATTATACGCTATCTGTACACCTGCTCTCCCTGCCCAAATTGACAAAATCTCTGCTTGTGTGAACAAAATAAAACATTGGCTTAACTTAAATTTTCTGAAACTTAACATGGACAAAACTGAGATCATTTTTATTGGAACTCTGTCACTCACTAGCAATATTCCTACTAATTTCACCTGTGAGATTGCTGGTTCTTACATCAAACCATCAAGTACTGTTAAAAATGTAGGTGTAATCTTCGATTCCTCTCTCTCCTTTCAGGCTTATATAAACTCTATCACCAAATCAGCATTCTTTGATCTGCGTCGAGTTGTCCAGCTCCGTCCCATCATCTGTGTTAAAGACACTGTTAAACTGTTATCCATGCATTTGTTACATCACGCCTTGATTACTGTAATGGCCTCTTCATTAGTTTACCTGCCAGCTCCATTTCCAGATGACAATACATTCAAAACTCTGCAGCTAGAATACTTACCCACACCAAGCGTTCTGCTCATATCACCCCAATTTTGTATGATCTCCACTGGCTTTCAGTAGCATATCGTATTAAATTCAAAATTCTTCTGCTCACTTTCAAATCATTGCATGGCTTGGCTCCCTCGTACCTTTGTAACCTGCTTCTCCCCTACACTCCGACTCGTTCACTACGATCTTCGGACTCTTCCCTTCTCGTTGTCCCTCGGTATCGCCTCTCTTCAATGCGGGGCAGATCATTCAGTGTTATTGCACCGAAACTCTGGAATTCTCTCCCCCGCTCACTCTGTTGTGTTAATAATATTTCTGAATTTAAATCATTACTCAAAACTCACTTATTTTCTGAATGTTACCATCCTTAAGTTTTGTATTTGGTGTGCTAGATTATTTTCTGCTATATGTTGCCCCGTCTATATAATTCTCTTTACTGTTTTGCAGATGATTTTGTGTAATGGCCTATACTGTATATACAGCCCTGAAATTCGTTTAATACGGCACTTACTAAAATACAGATATTAGATAAATCAAAATTAAAAACAGTTTTAAATGATAATATTAAGCTGGTGCAGATGGCGCTGATGGAACAGCAGAAATGCAGCCGTTATCCCTGTAACCCCGTAAACAAGGCAGCTGTGCTTTCTGTTTCTGAACAGCAGTATTTAAATGATTTAAACAGCCATTCAGAATTTTTTATTCACAATGGTTCCCATCACAGGGCCAAATACTTAAATACTTAGATGTAATCGACTATTTATTTTCAACATTTTTAATCTGGACTACAACATGCACTAGATATTGTTTGAAAATGTTTTGATTCGTTATCGTTCGGTCACACTTTACATTAAGGCTCCATTAGTTAACAATAGTTAATTTATTAGTTAACATAAGCTGCCAAAAATTATTCTAAAGCATTTGTTAATCTTAGTTCACTTCAACATTTAATAACATGTTATTAAAATCAAAAGTTGTAACAGTATTAGGCTATTTAATGGACCCGAGCTAGCATGAACTAACAGTTGTATTTTTTTTTAACAAAGAATAACGTCTGTAACAAATGTAGCTATTGCTCATTGTTAATGTTAGTGCATTAACTAAGGTTAATGAGATTATTGTAAAAGGTTACCTATTGTTCTTTATAATTCTTTTGCACTTTAATGTGTTTGAAACATTGGTTTACTTTATACATTTTTTGTGTATTGCTTTATTGTATTTATATGTTCTTTTTGTTAGTTATTAAACCTGTTATACTGTATTATGACAACACTTTTTTTGCAACTTATTTCAGTATCGTGATGATACTGTATACCGTGAAAAAAGCTTCAGCAATTATCGCAACATGAAAATTTGATACCATCACATGCCTAGTGTCAAGTAACTCTTACTAGAGTATTAGTACAGTATTAGTCGACTGTTGGGTTATGATTAGGGTTAGTAGAATAAGCTGACAAGGAAAGTTGCAAAGTTACTTATAAGCAGAAGAATGTCAGTTTGGGGACCATTAAAATAAAGTGTTAGCAGATATTCAGTGGATATTCTACTAATACTAGCTGTATTAGTTTGCAGAATGTCTAAAGTGAAACATCAAAATAAAGTGTTACCTATATTTGTGACACAGTTGGACAAATAGGGCCTGATCTCAGTCATCTGTTAATCATATATTTCATAATATGATATTCCCCAGATTGAACTTCCGAAAAAGTACCAAAGCCAGACCTGTGGACTTTGTGGAAACTTCAACGGCAACACGACTGATGATTCATTTGACAACGGTAAACCTCATTTTGATAAAAACAAAAATGATCTAGCAAATTTTAATATATGACATCCAAACATTTGGTTTGTATAGGTTTGGCCACATGGAAAGTGTTACCAACTGAATCCTGTGAGGTCTTAATTCATCCTAATGATCAGTGCAAAAACCAGGTATTATGAAACAAAATTAAAGTTGTTATTATTTTAACAGAATTTGGAGCTGTGCCTGAATGTCATAAAAATTGTCCCACCTGTTTCAACTTAAAAACTTAAATTCAGTTGCTGCCTTAAAATTTTAAGTCATTTCAACTCACAAGTTAAATCAACTTAAAGTACAAGTTATTTCAACTCACTAGAATAAAGTGAGTTGAAATGACTTGTACTTTTAAGTTGATTTAACTTAAAATTTTAATGCAGCAACTGAACTAATGTTTTTAAGTTGAAACGGGTGAATTTTTTTCAGTGTAAATGTTGAATATTACATTTTAAATTGTTTTATATCAATTACTAATTGGAACATTGGTACGGATATTTTTTGATATACTCAATGCATACGATGAACAAGAGATGTTATTTTATTGCTTCTTTTAGATTTTATATTCTATTATATATCAGTTTTTCAATATTTGTAAACATTTTTATGTTATCCTATAGTTGCAGGGTTATTATAGTTAACGAAAACGGAAATCATAAAACTAAAACCATTTTTTGTTACTTGGAATAAAATACATACTAACTAAAATAAAATAATAATATAAAAAACTGAAATTGATACAAATTATAGACATTTAAAATAAACAAAAATTAATCATGACAAAACACAACTATATATAGCTATCAGACTATTAATAAAAACTACAATAGTATCTCAATGATACTAAAATAAAACTGCCTAGTTGAAAGGCCTTTAAAATGCTAAAAAAATGAGTGTCCTCTGAATTTCCCAGACAAACATTTGCCAGCAGCATCTCAGCAGGCCGGGGTTTAGTGACTGCTACAGGGTGATGGACATGAGTTCATTTGAAAAAGCCTGCGAAGACGATCTGTGTCAGTGTTACGGCAATGACGACTGTCTCTGCAACACGCTCACAGAGATTTCACGACTGTGCACACATGCTGGAGGAGAACCAGGAACATGGAGGACAGAACAGCTCTGTCGTGAGTATCATTAATAAATCATTTTTTTAATATATAAAAACAATAGATAGATACATTCTATGTTTCATAACAGTTAACTGCAGTTTTGCAAAGCAGTAATGATGATATATTTTGTGATATACTATTTCATTTGTTCTGCGGAGCAGCAAAGACATGTCCTCTGAACATGCAATACCTGGAGTGTGGGAATCCGTGCAAGAACACCTGCTCAGGTCCAGATGCAAGTGTACTGTGTAAAGAACACTGTGTGGACGGCTGTTTCTGCCCTCTTGGTGAGAAAAGATTTACAAAAGCTCTGCACCTAGATTCCCCTAGATGGGTCTATTTTTAAATGAAGCTTCTCCTTGCAAAAATATGCTTATCATGCTTCAAGAATTGCATTAGCTGCAAGCAGAGCTTAATATCAGAACTGTTTATTTTATTATGTTCATAATGAAAATGGTACACCATTTTGCCTACTTTTTGTAAAGGTACGGTTGAGGATGACATTGGTCACAGTGGTTGTATTCCTGTGAACAAATGCCTTTGTGTGCACAACGGCACAGTATATCAATCAGGAGAGTCTTACAAACAAACTTGCAAAAAATGGTAACTTTTTTTTTTTACATTTAAATATTTTAAATTAACTTTTAATACCACATATATGCATATCCCCATGCTAACACTGCTGCTGTACTGTGTCAGTGTGTGCGCCGCTGGACACTGGACTTGTACATACCTGGAATGTCCTGGAATCTGCTCTGTTGTTGGAGGGTCTCACATCACCACTTATGATGGAAAGACCTTCACCTTCAGCGGCAACTGTGACTACATCCTCACTAAGGTCTGTGTCAGTACAGCAGATGATTCCCACAATTAGAAAAGTGTGGACTTTATAAAGGTTTCCGTGAACCTGAATATACAAACTATATAATTTGGAGGTTCTTACAATCTTTTTTTTTTTTTTTTCTCAGCGCTCTAATGACAGTGATATTGCTGTCATGGGAAACCTGGCAAAGTGTGATCAGACCCGATCAGACACATGTCTAAATTCAGTTACCCTTGTCATCCCAGGGACCACTGTAAGCACTTTGTTTAATTTTCCTACTGCTCCATATTTTCATCATTCAAATTCTAAAATAACCCAAATATTTTTTTCTAAGAGCACCAGCAAATGTGTCTATGCTCAGAATGGCACACTAACTTTCAGCAAAGTGCACAGTACCTACGGCATACTCCACTACCATTTTACTTTTATACTCAAAAAAATTTATCAAAATCCTTCAAGATGCCGTTACAAAATTTTTTTTTTGTTTTTTTTTGTTTTACTTATAAAACAGATTCGTTTTTCCTCCAATGGTGTTGTGACACTGAATGAAGCTGGTCCATATAAGCTTCCTGCTACCACAGGTGGGTTGTCAAAAATGGGGATTGCTCTATTATAAGCATGTTAAAGATAAAATTAAAGGGGTCATATGATGTTGCAAAAAATAACATTATTTTGTTAAATGCATTTTTTGGAAGATGCAAGGCTTTTCCTTTCTTCTATAAATGTAGATATAGCATATAGAGCATATTAGCATTAATAAAAAGGCACTGATGACTAATGTTCTGTTTTGTGTCCTAACCACCCATTTTGTTGTCCCAGGTCCTGTGAGCATTTTTAAGCCATCTTCCTCCTTCATCATTGCTGATATGAAGAGTCTTCGTCTAGAAATCCAGTTGGCTCCAGTTATGCAGTTGTATATTGTTGCCAACCCTGACGAGAAAGGAAAGATGAGCGGTGAGTTTTCAAAAATATGTGATTAGAATGACTTTCTGTTATGGAGTGTCTATTTACACTATGTGCAAATAGCCCACCATGTTGGCAGAGGTTATTTACACTATAGCTCCACTCACCAATGTCTGGCTGGCGTAGACAACATTACAAAAGACGCATGTTGAACAAAAGGCTCAGTGGTGTAGGGCGTGGAATCTTTTGATGCGATTAACCTGAGTTCGACTTGCCGAACTCATTCTTCTCTTTTTTCCCCATCACATATCAGATCGGAAAGACATTCATTTTCAATAAAAACAAAGGAAATGTTTAAAAAATGGAAATAAAGTGCATTGCCGGTATAATAAAGTGTTTATCGGGTAGGAGTAGGGAGGGCTTTATTGTCCCAATATAAGGCGGCATCCATTTAGTAAGTTTAAGAAATATGATCATTTAAACTCAATATGTTGTTACTGCATGCTGTTTTATAATGTACTACAATAATGAGGTGCAAATATCTGCCATTTTTTCACTAAGTATAAACAACATCTACTATTTACACTTTCTGCAAAGAAAATGCTGCTATTTTTACATGTAGAATACGTGTAGAATCTATCATTATTTGTACTTAGTGTAAAGAGCATCTATTGCTTAGCCGCTGCCCTTTTTGTTGTGGAAGGTGGAACGAGTAAAAAAAAAAAAGAGTAACTTTTAATACTAAAATATTATAAAATGACCAATTGTTAACATTGCTAAGATTTATACAATTATTAAAAGGATATCAAAATATATATGACCGCTTTAAGAAAGGACTTTTCAAAAAATGTATAAGTTCATAGTGAATAAATTACAGGTATTGTGCTTTTAATTCTGTATCTTGCTTCTTTCAGGTCTATGTGGCAACTATAATGATGTCCAATTAGATGACTTCAAAATAGAGTCGGGCATCACCGAGGGCACACCAATAACCTTTGTCAACTTTTGGAAAAACCAAAACCGTTGTCTAAATCTTGAAAACACATTTGACAACCCCTGTAGCCTGCATTCGGAGATAGGTACTCAGTTTTATTAACATAAAGGCTCTGTTGTAGTGTACAGAAATTTCCCAGCCTGATAGTTTTGATTTGTTTAATTTGGGATACTAGAGGACAATGACCTATTCATTTTTTGTCAAGGTTAAAATGTGGCTATTTTGTCATAATTCAATTCTAGTGTTTTTATTTTTTTCATTCAGAGAAAGTAGCTAAAAACTGGTGTTCCCGTCTTACAAAACCAAAAGGAGTTTTTTCCGCATGTCATTCAGAAATATCTCCTGAGATTTACTACCAAGTGAGTGTTTTTGCACGAAATGATAGGGTAAATGAAATATGATATACAAATTTAAAGAGCCCTCTTTCTTATAATCTGGGTTTCATCCTCTGCAGTGGTGTGTCTATGACACCTGCAAATGTGCAGATATTAGGAAGTGTATGTGTGCGGCTGTGTCCAACTATGCCCACGCCTGTGCTGCCAGAGGAGTCATTCTCCAGGGCTGGATGGATTCAATCACCTGTGGTGAGAACTTCATAAGTATTTATTTGTTTATATGTATGGCTTGAAATGTAATATATGGCTTGAAATCTACATTACCTTGTGTTTGAATCACTTTCTAAAAAAGAAACGTCAAAAGTGTGTTTGTCTGTCTGCACAGTGACTAAGTGTCCAGGCAACATGAAGTACTCCTACAGCGTGACCAGCTGTGGCAGCACATGCCGCTCTCTTAGTGGACAAGATAGCACCTGCCAAGGGTCCTTCACACCTGTAGATGGTTGTGTATGTCCTGAGGACACCTACCTCAATAATGACGGCAGCTGTGTGACTGCTGACCAGTGTTCTTGTTACAGTGGCAACCAGGTCATAAAACCATCAGGAATAATCTACAATAATGGTGTTAAATGGTAAAAATAGTAGTTCAGCATACATCATTGACACGTTATTTATTATTGATAAAACATTATTGTAACCGTTGATGTTTTTTTTTTTTTACACATTACAGCACCTGTAACCTTGGCAAATTACACTGCTCCAGCCAAGAAGGTGAGCTGAAAATATCTCTTCAGCAGTTCCACCTGCCAAATTCAAATTGAGATGTCACTAAGATACGGCAACATTGGTATGATTTGTGCAATTTTTCTGCTCCTCATCCATGTATCTGTTGTTTTAGACTGTGTGAATCCAATGGTCTTCTTCAACTGCTCAAAACATGAACACGGACACAAAGGGACGGAGTGTCAGAGGACATGTGAGAAACAAGACCCCAACAACTGCGTGAGTTAGAATGGATGGTTGGATGAGAACACATGAGAAATTAAAGAAAATGAAACGAATAATATCATTATTTTGCATTTTTATAGTGCACTGATAACTTGCAGAGAATATGATGTTGCACTAATGCTGCTCCTTCTTGGTTTGTTTTGTCTGTAGGTGAGTACAGGGTGTGTATCAGGGTGTATGTGTCAAAATGACCTTATAGTTGATGGGGAAGGTAGGTGTGTGGAGAGGACAAACTGCACATGCGTTCACAATGGGCTCATCTATTCACCTGGAAAACAAGTTCAAGAGGACTGTAACACCTGGTGAGCCAATTACCCAATCATCATATAGATAACCTATGTTTTGTAGTGTATTATTTAAGGGTCATGAAACAATGAACTGCATTTTCTAAGTTGTTAACAGAGATGTTGTGCTGAATATCTAATAAAGCAATTATAGCACCCATTAATTTGAATTTTAGGATAAAAGTGGTTGGGATTTTTTGTGTTATTTTCGTCTTCCCTGTTTAAAATCTACATCATGCCAAAATAGCAGAAGATGTGATGTGGTGAAACACCATTGTTTAAGATGCACCTCACGTCGCCTTGAAAATAGACCAGAGTAGGTGGATGCAGTCAGGGGCTGAGTGAAATAAATGCAGACAAGACTGACCATTTTCACTTCTTGTAGTGGATCAGACACCTGTGAGATCAAAGGATATTCACACTTATTTACTTGGGTGCTAATAAGCTGGATGTAATTTAAATTTTGTTTTAAAACAAGACACCCAAATCACTTATTAATTTCCCCCCACAGAAAAAAAAAATTTCCGTCCATTTTTAATTTAATACACATTTATTTGAGATAATTTAGAAATCACCTATTCTATACAGCGAATGCTCTGACAAGAGTGTTTGGGAATATATTTTGTATTTACAGAATGCACATAAAAACATAATATCAAAGTAAAACAAAGAGAGCAACACATCACGCTTGTTTAAGCCAAAGAGCATTAGGCTGTGATATCAACAAGTTGTTTCCCATCGTGCCTTTAACAACAGAATTTGAACTTGTCCATCTGCTTCCTGCTCACTGATTGACTGTGTCAGAAATCGCCCCCATACCCTCAAATAGGTCACTATTTAGCACAAACTACTAAAAGCAGCAGCCCTTCTGGTGCACTCAATGTCAGAGTGGCGCTCACTCGATTTCATTCACTCCATAAACTTGAACTATATTAGTGGACTAATGTAGGGAATAGTAAAGCCATGGTCTCATGTGATTGACATCTGCATTATATTTTCTAGTCAAATCTCAGACACCGAAATATTATTTGACATAATAGCCTACTGCATTAATCACTCAGTATTTGAATAAACAATTAATCCCAAATAAATTAAGCCATCCACTGCCTTTTTTATTAGCGTGGACAGAAGACTTATCATAACATCAGTAAAATAAGTAACCATTGTGAAAAATTGTACTAGCCTACATTGTCATTTCAACACTTAATGAAATTATTTACCACATTGGTATGCATGTCAAATACTCAGTGGTGGAAAATGTACTAAAAAATTATAAAGGGCACATATTATGCAAAATCCACTTTTATATGGTGTTTGGACATAAATGTGTGCTGGCAGTGTGTGAACACAACCACCCTAGAATGATAAAAATCCACCCACTATTTATTTTTTAATCCCCATTAAACCAAACCAGTCTCATTAGGCATTCGGTTTTGATTCTCTTAGCATTGTGATGTCACATTGTTTAGGCCCCACCCACGGCCGCTGACTGACAGTCCTGCATTACCGTAGTTTCTGCCCTCAGCGAGTTGTGTTTGGTTGTACACTGTCATCCATTTTCTCCGCGCTTGAGCAGCTGTAACGGCAACAATGTCTCCTAAGCAATGCCGGTGTTATGTGTTTGGATGAAAGACTGAACATAAAAGTCTTAATTTGCTCCCAACATCTGAGCCACTGAGGACGCAGTGGATTACTTTTATTTTTGAAGGTAATGCGCCTCAAAATGTACCAAAATTCGTTTATGTCTGCACAAATCATTTCACTATTGCTTTATGAACGAGGAGCAATACAAGGCAGGCTTTGCTAAAAAGTTGTTATTTAAGGAGAGGGCCGTATTAAGACCTCACTGGGCCCTGGGGCTATGAGTTTCTGCAGGGCTTTTTACGAGGACATTCCCAAAGACGGGCATTTTGACACAATTATGTGTATTTGAACGTTCAAGCACAAGGCACGAGAAAGAAAGAACTCAAGTTTAGTCAGGCGCTGTATGAGCAGGTGCGCCACTGCGCGTATCAGGCTTACCAAAATGAATTCTCCCCCACTGCTTAATATGCACATCCATCCATCCATTTTCCAAACTGCTAATCCAATGAGGGTACAGCGTAATCTCATACAAATATTAATTTCTTTTTGATTGATTATTAAATTGTTTAATTAAGGTTTATACATGCTAGTTTTCATGACAGAGTTCAAGATAAATCTTTTCATTACTACTGGCACTGTTTGCTAAATTTCAAATGATTATTAAACAGCAAGCACAAACTACTAAAAGCAGCAGCCCTTCTGGTGCACTCAATGTCAGAGTGTCGCTCACTCGATTTCATTCACTCCATAAACTTGAACTATATTAGTGGACTAATGTAGGGAATAGTAAAGCCATGGTCTCATGTGATTGACATCTGCATTATATTTTCTAGTCAAATCTCAGACACCGAAATATTATTTGACATAATAGCCTACTGCATTAATCACTCAGTATTTGAATAAACAATTAATCCCAAATAAATTAAGCCATCCACTGCCTTTTTTATTAGCGTGGACAGAAGACTTATCATAACATCAGTAAAATAAGTAACCATTGTGAAAAATTGTACTAGCCTACATTGTCATTTCAACACTTAATGAAATTATTTACCACATTGGTATGCATGTCAAATACTCAGTGGTGGAAAATGTACTAAAAAATTATAAAGGGCACATATTATGCAAAATCCACTTTTATATGGTGTTTGGACATAAATGTGTGCTGGCAGTGTGTGAACACAACCACCCTAGAATGATAAAAATCCACCCACTATTTATTTTTTAATCCCCATTAAACCAAACCAGTCTCATTAGGCATTCGGTTTTGATTCTCTTAGCATTGTGATGTCACATTGTTTAGGCCCCACCCACGGCCGCTGACTGACAGTCCTGCATTACCGTAGTTTCTGCCCTCAGCGAGTTGTGTTTGGTTGTACACTGTCATCCATTTTCTCCGCGCTTGAGCAGCTGTAACGGCAACAATGTCTCCTAAGCAATGCCGGTGTTATGTGTTTGGATGAAAGACTGAACATAAAAGTCTTAATTTGCTCCCAACATCTGAGCCACTGAGGACGCAGTGGATTACTTTTATTTTTGAAGGTAATGCGCCTCAAAATGTACCAAAATTCGTTTATGTCTGCACAAATCATTTCACTATTGCTTTATGAACGAGGAGCAATACAAGGCAGGCTTTGCTAAAAAGTTGTTATTTAAGGAGAGGGCCGTATTAAGACCTCACTGGGCCCTGGGGCTATGAGTTTCTGCAGGGCTTTTTACGAGGACATTCCCAAAGACGGGCATTTTGACACAATTATGTGTATTTGAACGTTCAAGCACAAGGCACGAGAAAGAAAGAACTCAAGTTTAGTCAGGCGCTGTATGAGCAGGTGCGCCACTGCGCGTATCAGGCTTACCAAAATGAATTCTCCCCCACTGCTTAATATGCATGAAGGGTTTAAAATAATTTGTTTTTAAACCACAATGCTTACAAAAGTGTTTAAATGATAAGTTTACATCATGACGGCGCAACACGTTTGACATATTTCAAGCGGGTTATCGTCCACCCCTTCAGCGAATATATAGTTTGTTCAAACACAAAAAGCAATATACATCAGTCAAGTTAATAATCAAACTAACCTAAAATCGGTGGGGACGATGACGCTGTTTTTATCTGTTCCATGTGTCCAGTCCACTTGCTGTTCCACAACTTCCACTCCATCAACAGCTTTAGTAAAATAACCTGATACTGAATACTCATGTACTGAATAATTCGTGTTTTTTTCTGCTGCTTGTCTTTTAAGTTTTTCCTTTTGTGAGCTCCTCTCACATTTTTTAAAATAGCTGACATTTTCAGGCTACCTATTCGAAGATTTCTTACCGTGACGATTTCCAGATTAGACTAGAACGAAGTGAACAGTGGAGGTGATTGATTGGTGAATGCGGACATCCCAATAAGGCACAGTGATCACCTCATAGATATGTGCAGGTCGTTCAAAAGTCAAATATAGAATAAATGCATTTGATTGGTAAACCAAATTCAATCCCTAATGGTAATGCATGGAATTTATGGCAAAGCTCCACTAAATAACAGTGCTAATTAGTGGGGGGCGTGGTGGGTCTTTGGTGATCGGTGCTCCACAGTCAAATCACGGGCCCCCTCCTTGCTCGGGCCCCGGGGCTTCACCCCCCGCCTAGCACTATTGTTAATGTGGCCCTGCTTAAGGATAGATCAATACCAACTGTTCGTGATCGAGCTTCACCTCCAGAAATAAGTGTCACACAGTTAATTTTTTATGATTTTTTAGTAAATCGCCATTTCAGTCGATGTGCCTGTTAGCCAGTTCCACAACAAATGCGGCTAAAGCTATTGTTGTATTAGAGACCAAATGTCTGTCGTCTACTTTTAACCTTGTTTCTATTCATTTGTGTGCGTGTGTTGTTTCGTTAAAGCACATATCGAACGTTATCGAAATATTTGTGTGTTGCTCATCTGTTCTTGCAAATGGGATGTGAAAACTCTACAAGTACATAAATGTATCAAATAACCATTCCGAGACGTCCTGGTTCATTCATCTGTGTCTGACTCCAGTTCATACATGTACAGCTGAACACCGGTTCTCTCGCTCTCAGTCATGTTGCTTCTACTAGCTGTTTATTGCTGTAGGTATGCAAAGCAGAGATGTATACGCCACGCCCTCTTCTGAAGACGGGGTGGGAATATGCAGCTCATTTGTATTTAAAGTGATACACACCAAAACATCTCTTTTTTTTTTAGACATGCCCCAAAAATGACATGTTCAACATGTTATAATAAATGATCTGTGGGGTAAACTTCACAGACACATTTTTGGGACACCCAAGACCAATATTACATCTTGAAAAAAGTATTGCTACTTTATGGCCTGGTTTCACAGACAGGGCTTAAGCCGGGCGCACACTGTGCGATTTATAACAGTTCTTTACGATTGTTGCTTGTCAGACTGTACGAATATGAT